CCTTCCTTCCTTCCTTCCTTCCTTCCTTCCCCTCTCTCTCTCTCTTTCTTTCTTCTTTCTTTTTTTCTTTCTTTCTGTGAGTTGTCTGATATTGCTCTTTGTTTTTTTCTGTTGGGTTTCTGGAACTTTTCTTACCAATTTCTGATACTGTTTTTAAAATACATAAAGGAGCCCAGCCGGGTGTGGCTCAGCAGTTGGGCGTCGACCTAGGATCCAGATGATCAGGGTTCGATTCCCCGTCAGGGCACATGCCCAGGTTGCGGACTCGATCCCCAGCAGAGGGTGTACAGGAGGCAGCCGATCAATGACTCTTTTATCATTGATGTTTCTATCTCTCTCTCCCTCTCCTTTCCTCTCTCTGAAATCCATAAAGATATATTTAAAATAAAATAAATAAAATAAAATAAAATACATTAAGGAAATGAGCCTCTCTTTGTGATATGCCTGATGAGGCATTATCTCATTTTATCCTTGCAGCTGCTCCTCTCTGAGCGTGTTATTACATCCGCCATTTAACTGATGAAGAAACTAAGTAAAGGAAGATTAAATAACTTGCCCAAGGTCACATGATAAGTGATTAAAGCAGGGTCAAACTAGGTGTCTCTGACTCCATGCTTGAGTTTTTAATTACACTCTTGTGAATTGCCTCCCCTGGGTAGGAGAGGAAGGGAAAAAAGTCTTTGACTTAAATTTCCCTTTATGAGCCTAAAACATCCATGTTTGTCTTGCTTTGTGTTTCTTCCTTTTCTTTTGTCTTTTATTCCTTTTTAACGAATATTTATGTAGCTCCTACCATGTGCTTGATGAGCACTGGAGATACAAAATTAGAATAATTTGGTTTCTACCCCCAAAGGATTCATAGTTTAGGGAGGGAGCAGTCATGTAAAAAATACAATGTTATGTAATAAGCCTTCTGTATGTAGAAAGAGAAAGCCTTTGGTAGAGGACAGGAGAGAGTTTCATGGAAGGCTTCATAAAGGAGGTGAGTTTTGAGTTGGATTTTGGGGGGTTAATTGGGCATCTAGATAGAGTGAAGAAGTGTTTCAGACAGAGGGGATAGCATGAGAATTAAGTGAATGCTTGGGCCTTCACAATTTTATAGATTTCAATACATTTTTATTTCTTTTTCTCTGAAAAGTTCCAGTGCTTTTAATGAGCCTCATGTCTTCCTATTAGTCTCTCACCCCTGCTCTCTCTCCCTTACTCTTGTCTAGTGGGGACCACTAACGCCACTGATGGAAGCCATGTTACCTGGGCATCGGACCATGAACCCCTGTCCTGTGTGGGAGCGAAAGAGTGACTGTGTGTACCTGTTCTTCATTTGTGTGCGGGACCATGTCACAGAGCGTCAACAGATCATGTCAGGCAGGAATGCTGCTCGCCTCTGCTTCATCTGCAGCCAGGATTCTGGCTATTCATGGAGCGACGTGAGGGACCTGACTGAGGAGGTCATTGGCCCAGAAGTGAAGCATTGGGCCACATTTGCTGTGGGCCCAGGTCATGGCATCCAGCTGCAGTCAGGGAGGCTGATCATCCCTGCATATGCCTACTACATCCCTTACTGGTTCTTTTGCTTCCGGCTACCATGTAAAGCCAGGCCTCATTCCCTGATGATCTACAGTGACGACCTAGGGACCACATGGCACCATGGCAGGCTCATTAAGCCCATGGTGACAGTGGAGTGTGAAGTGGCAGAGGTGACTGGGAGGACCGGCCACCCTGTGTTGTATTGTAGTGCCCGGACACCAAACAGATGCCGGGCAGAGGCTCTCAGCACTGACCATGGTGAGTGCTTTCAGAGACCGGCCCTGAGCCAACAGCTCTGTGAGCCCCCACATGGCTGCCAAGGCAGTGTGGTAAGTTTCCGGCCCCTGGAGATTCCAGATGGGTGCCAGGACCCTACTGGCAAAGATGCTCCTACTGGTCAGCAGAGCCCTCTGCTGGATAGTTCCCTGAGGCTAGAGCAGGAAGCTGGAACATTGTCAGAATCATGGCTCTTGTATTCACACCCAACCAGTAAGAAACGGAGGATTAACCTAGGCATCTACCTCAACCGGACCCCCTTGGAAGCTGCCTGCTGGTCCTCCCCTTGGATCTTGCACTGCGGGCCCTGTGGCTACTCTGATTTGGCTGCTCTGGAAGAGGGCTTGTTTGGGTGTTTGTTTGAGTGTGGGACCAAGCGGGAGTGTGAGCAGATTGCCTTCCGCCTATTTACAGACCAAGAGATCCTGAGCCATGTGCAAGATGACTGCACAAGCCCTGGTAGGAACTCTGAACCAATTCATAACTAATTGGTTTAGGATCCAACTTTCCATAGAAGGGAAACCATTAGAAGGCAACTATAGCCAGGATAATGGAGGCCAGGATAATAGAGGTTACCGAAGCCTTCAGGGAATCCCAGAACTTAATATTCTGCTCCCTGTCTTTTTTCACCTCTCCAAAGAGCAAAATGAAAATTTTGCCATACCTACTGCAGCTGAAATAGCACTGAACTGAATTGGGAGACCATGATATGATCTGGGGCCTGCCACTGGCTGGCTCTGGAACCTTAAACTCTCTGGGCCTCAGATCTCCATCTGTAAAATGAGAGGATTGGTTCTGTGATTTCTCTTCCTATCCCTGGAGAAGGCAGAGTGCCTTCTTGCTCCTTGGTCAGCAAGTCTTGGCTGCACAAAGGACTCTGGTCTCAAAATGGAATCAGAGGATTCACCGTTTCAAATGACTCACCACTCATCCAAGTATGAGGTTGCAAGCAGGTGTCATGTCATGAAGGATCTGGATGGTTTGTTCGGTTTTTAATAACAGATGAGCTCTACAGGCTATCTTGGAGGAATTGGGCAAAACAGGAGAAACATGAGGTCACCTACCTTCTTCAGCTTTGCAGCTCTGCTCAGCCTCCCCTTCCTCACCCAGAAAGTGTCATTTCCTAGGAAGGAAATGGGCTCAATACCAATAGTCCATATTGTTTCTGATGGCATTACTCCTATGAGAGATGAGCCTGAAGTTTATTTATTAGGATGGTTCCTGATGGGAAAAAGGCATGGCTTAGGGCTTTAAAGCATTGAACAAAACTTCCCACAGTCTCTGCCCTCAAGGAGCTCACAGTTTGTGAGGCTAGAAGAGGGAAACATTTTTTGCAAAATAAATGCAGCTGGTGGGATAGTTTGTAGATGTTGGGCTCTAAGTTGGCATAATGGTAGCTCATTATCTTAGTTGCATCTTTATTGTGCCTGGAGCCATCTTCCCCAGGGCTTGTCCAGTCTGCTGGATTTCCCCTAAGTTTGTTTTTCTTAGGATGTTGTCTGGGCCCAGCCACTCCATTTGCCAGTGGAGAAACTTCACCCTTAGGAAGGTCTCAGACCCTCCAATCCACTGAATCTGGCCTGTTTGTTTGGACCTCCTGACATCACTATTTGTGAAGTGGGGATGACACTTTGTCTTGTAGTTTTGGGGCTGAACTTTGCTAGTACTGGGTCTCTCAGATGATACCATATTGGTTGCTTTTATTTTAGATTGTTTTCCCCGTACCCTGTTATTGTGAGGGAAATTCTATCATGAGAGATCTCTTTTTTGTTCTCCTTAAACTGGTATATCAGCTAAATACAGGGTGGGACAAAAGTAGGTTTACAGTTCATATGGAAAATAATATAATAATAAATAATAATACAAGCATAAATTGTATTTTGTGTACTTACAACTGTAAACCTACTTTTGCCCCACCCTGTGTATGTGGTGCTAGGTAATGGCCCCAGAGAGCAATGGTAGAGCATAGCCTGGGGTACATCGTCAGATGGGGGAAGGGTCCTACAGGAGGAGAGTAGAGGTTAACTTCACCTACTTCCGCATATAGCTTAAGTGCATGTGTTAGGGTGGCCTCATACATTTGCCATTTTCTTCCTAGTAGTCAGCTATGATCATTCACTCATTTATACATTTATGTAACTATTTCTTGAGTGCCTGTGCATAATGAAAGGTGCTTTCTGTTGCCATTCCCTGGTTGAAAATAATTTGTCTCCTCATTGCCTATTAAAGGCTGCATTTAGGACCTTCAATTGTTGGGTGAAATAATGATTACTTACCTCTACTTTATATGTCAAAGAAGCCCATTGTCAAGTCGGCAAGTGGAAGGAGGTGCGGATTTGGGGGTGGGCAGAAGTGGTACAGGGGATAGGATTCAAAGGGCATCCCCCTCCTGAGTTCTTGTTCAGCAAAGCTTTCCTGAGTGCTGTACTCCAAATAGATAGGAATAAGCAGGAGGGCTAGGCTCCACCTCAGGGCTAAAGGGTGGAGACAGAATATCATGACTTCCTTGGGACCATCCAAGAAGGGAATCAAGGAAGGGACTTTAGTCACATGCCAGTGTGAACCACATAAGATGTCTCATCCAGCTCTGAATTGCCCTCCCTTTTCCTCTTCCCCTTTGCCTCATGTTTGCTTCTCTTCAGTGAGAAATTCCCTTAATAGGCAAAGGGCCTATAAGCACATTTCAGGAACAGCAAGAAAAGATCACTGGGGACAGGCATAATCCAGACTGAGGACTAGAGAGAGGAACAGAGCGGGTAGTGGCAGCTGTGAAGAAAAGGAACAGCAGGTAGAAGTCCTGGCACCTTTGGGAAGAGAAAAAGTACACATGTGAGACCTAGGCTGGAGAGAGAGGGTGTAGGTGATGGTTGCTGTGAAGAAGAAATGACAGGCTGGAGCTGTTCCCTGAAATGTCTGGGAACAGAGAGAGGCCTGTACAGGCTGCAGAAAAATTCCTACCCAACTCTGTAATTTTAAGCTGGCTCAACTTCTCCATGGTCCAGGTGACCAACAAAAACCACCGTAGGCACTCCAACTCTACCTGTGCCAATTGCCCAGGTCTTCAGGGCGCTGGGACCTGCACCATGATACTGGTATCCTAACTAAGCCCATTTCAGCCACTCAGGCTGGTAGAATGAAAAGATAGGGCAGGTGATGGCAGCTGTGAAGAAAAGAGGAAAGACTGAAGGCCTATGATATAGAGGCATGAAGAGAGGACCACATAGGCTGTGGTCCTTTGCTCCCAGATGCCCTACCCTATCCTTGGACCCTTAGTATGGATCCATCTAGCACACGTGGCCCACCACTGGAAGTGTAAGAGAGCACAGGTAGTGAGTGGCCTGGTGCTGGTATGTACCCAGACCAGACTCCCATCACTCAACTTGCTGGTCCTGCTCATGCTCCCTAACACCTGGTTCCTCAGGCTTAGGCTCCTAATATTTACCTTAGGCCTTTGTTATTTGGTCCTTGTTATTTGGATCCGTTTTTCCTGGTCACCCGTCTCCCCTCAGATATCCACAGGGTATCATGTAACTACAGTCAAGGGTAAGAGACCTTGCAGCCTGCCTGTAGAGTAGCCTGAGGGACCCACAGAGGCCACCCTGGGCCTGCACAGCCTCTGCCCCAGGACAATGGGATTCATTCCTTTCACTTGGGCCAGATTAAGATGCTCAGGCTTCTTAAGGAAGCCGTGAATTTTCCCCAGTGCATTTTTCAATAGGTGTCATGTTGTCCTTCCTGGGCTGCCGCCTGAGCCTCCCTTTGGTCCTTACCATAGGCTGCCCTGTGTTACTGTGTGTTGTGCCCTCTAGGCCTCTGCTAGGCTGTGAACTCCTTGAGTGCCAAGTCCGGCTCCTCATTGTATCCTCTTTACCTTGAACAAGTGCTTTTTCTATCATATTTTGAATTCCCTGAAGATTAGGACTCTGAGTCCTCTCTTTGTCTTCTGCACCCAGCTCGGGGCCTGGCACAGAATAGACAACAGTAAAGTTACGCTGAATTAATAAAGGAGTTAAAGACCCTTGGCCTTCTGGAGCTAACTGAGAAGGGTAGGGTGAGTCCCCTCTCAGGGAGGCACATGTCGATTCCCTCTGTGGATTCATAGCACTCTAAACCTGCTGAACACTCACCCTAAGTGAGTCTTCTCTGTGCTGGCCCACTTCCAGGTCAGTCACAGGATTTCCTGGGAGTGAGCTTTTCTCTGGCTTGAGCTTGGTGCTGCCTGGGTATCCCAAGGATCACAGCCCAAGCCCAAAGCGAAGCCTCGATGTGGGGCTCTCATTTCACTGGTATTCCCCTATCTCATTGGATTTTCTATAACTACCACCCCGCCAAGACTCAGAGGGAGATGCAAGTTCTGTACATGTCTTGGTTCTGTGAAACCAGGTGCCACAAATGCTCTCTGTACTATAAAAACTACCAGGACTCTGAAACAAGGAAGATAAATAAAGAGTGTAATTCTGGTGGCTGTTGGTTTTGTTGTTAAGGACACTGTGAGATCATAACCATCTTAACACACATCTAGTTTGTAACCAACTTCTTTGGGATTTGAGGCATTTTTTTTGCTTTTCATAAGAACTTTTTCCTTACAGAAAACATTATTGATAATAACCCTTTGCACTTTTACACACTGTTACTTGAACATAGTTACCAATTGAGGGCAGCAGGGCTGAGGTGACTGTGACTGGCTTGATTGCCTATTATAATTAGCTGTTAAGTGGAGGCACCAGGATGCACAGAACCCCCCTCTGGCACCTGCCCCAGTGTTTGTCACTGCACTTCTTATTTCAAAACTACCTTGAGATTACTCTCAAACTGCAGTGGGAGAGGCCACAAGTATTTACCGCAATGAAGTGGGGCGGTAGCTTTCTGCTTGACTTTCTCTGTGTTCCATTGGGGTGCTTCGGGCACGGCTGATCCTGCCAAAGGTCTCAGTGTAACTGCCCCGTCCTGTCAGTGGCTCGGTCTGCTTTAAAAACATCATTTTGACAACTGAACAGGTTTCAAGTGAACACACCTGGTCATATAATGGTGCAGGAATAAACGGAGCTTGGAGAGCTGGGAATTTACCTCTAAAAATAGTTGTACAATAATTATAGGATCTTTTTTTTCTAAACCCGATGATTTCTTTTATGTTTTGTCAGATTGCTTAATCCCTGAGGGACCCGTGGGTATGAGAGAACTATGCGCCACTTAGTTTATTAAACTCATTCAGTAAAACACTGAAAACCTCTTGAGTATTTAAACACTAACATTTGATTAAACTGCCTTAAACATAAATACCAGTTACAAATTTAGTATAGTTGATCCTTTTGAACAACAGTTCGAACACCCCGGTAGATAAAACATAAGTTCAGTGATTATAAAGCACATCCTTACACCAAAATGGAGTCCAAGAGAGCCAATGCCATGGGTTTAACTTTGTTCCTCATTATCATTACACCTTTTGGGGCTTCTAGCTTTTAAACCTCTTTAGAGTTTTAGTAACTTCCCCAGGTTTTCCCCTCCACCCTCCCAGGGATTCAGTAATAGCAGATCCAAAAGAAAAAGAACATTTTAGACAAACTCTTTCCACTGGAGCATTAAACTGGGAGGTTGAAGGCCTGGAACCAAAGACAGCCAACTTTCCCTCCTCAGCAGTGGCTAAGTAGAAGCCTGAAAGAATGAAGCCCTGCAGAAACAGTCCTTATGATATCTACTGGGGTCCCTGTCTTATGGGAACCTATAAACCCCAAACTTCAATTTTTATTTCTTAAGCTAGTCTGAGTTGGATGTATATAACTTGACACCAAAAGAAGATACACATTTTTACAGAAAATTTGATTTAATTAGTACTATAATCTGTTAGTCATGATGTGGAGCAGCACTACAACCATGAGAAATTAACTTTTAATCCAGTCTACTAAAATTTGGTCAACAGTATTAACTAAAGGGTACATTAACGGGAGGGACTTTGGTATAAAATGGGGAAAGGGTTGGACTAGGAGGAGTCAGGAGTCCAGGGTCCTTGTCCTAGAGCTTGCCACTGATGTGATGGGCTACTTTGTGCCAGTCACTGGCCCTCTCTGGGAACCCATATATTCAGCTATAATGGGAGCATGATCTTTACCCTGCCACTCACCAGGGAGTGGTGTGGATCTGATGAGCTAGGAGACAGTGTAATGTAATGTAAATAGCAGATAAAGTACCTTTTAACCATTGATCTCCATTCGCTATCCATCAGCATTGGCAACGCCTGACAGTTGAATGATGAAAATGAGGGTAATGGATAGGACAGGAGGAAGGCAGGGCCCACTGAGGAGGGCACTCTAAGGCTAGACAGCCATCTCACCTCACTTCCATCATGTCCCTAGCAAAACTGCAGGCCTTATGATTTTGCCCAGCCTTCTGAATTTCCCCCAGACCTTTTGCTCCCTTACTATGAGGAATCACCCAGTCTGGTTTGTATAGAAGAGGGAAACCTTAGGGCCAAGTAGGAAGGGACTTGGTCTGAGTCATTTCTGTTCTCTGTGCCCACCATAAAGCCATGCATACATAGCACAGGATAAGAAAGAGGGATGCGAGGGGAGTAACATTTAAAAAGTACCTACTATGTGTTTTGAGTTATATGTACTTGTATTTAATTAAAAAACTCATTTTAGAGATAGGAAAGTTGAGACTCAACAAGGTTACATGTTCCCATTGTCACATACCTGTAAGTGATGAAGTTGGATCTGATTCCAAACCTACATTTTTGTCATATGGCAACTAAAAGGCAGAACTGGGGGAGAGACCTTGAAGACTGATATGAGGAAGAGTTAGTGCCTCTTAAGTCCTT